CAAGCTACCAATGGAGACGTCTCGCGCAGTTGTTAGAGGCAGGATGGAACGCAACGGTTGGATGATTGTGACTCAAAGAACTTTGTCTTAAGGGTTGAGCAACAGTCGCTTCATTAACTTATTGCATGACCGTAGGGAGCGTACTGTCGTCGAAGTGGATGAACGATGCGCCTGTGATCTGCTGTTGCAAGACAGTCACATGTCTCTCTGAAAGAATCATTGTCGTCGAAAGTGATGACTCTACCGTCTGGAGACAACGACTTCCACCACAATTGACAGGGATAGAGGAGAATAGCAGAAAGCGATAAGCCCTGTGGTAGATCTAAATGCTCCATGGCCGTCTTGTTGGACTGGTTCGTTGCGATCGACGTCTATTCCGAACAGCGAGAGATATCTACCCATCAGATGGACCTCCAGCATACGCCTTACTCGCATTTTCCGTAGTTAAGGAACGCGGACTCGCCGTGAAGGTGTTCTTCGAGACCTAAGCTTATCAGACTAAGGCTTCATCACCTCACTAATCATCATGTGTTGTCGGTTGGTATATTGGTTGCATGGCTGTCTTAACTTCTCAACTTCCCAGAGATATGGAGTGATATTCTCAGGAAGAGCATAAGTAGTAAGGCGAAAGGATGGAGGGATCGGACAATCACCATTCACGTCGACTTTCACACTTCAAAATGGCTTTCAAATCGAGATACATCGCTTATTGAAACAGGTAGCGACGGTGCAAGACGCGCGAGGCTCGTTGAGCTATACGTCATGTCTCGTAGTGTCTTGGCTAGCGGCCCTGTAAGATAGTCAGCATATATCTGATGAAATAAGAGTTCACTTACAGTCTTTAAATTTCCATTTCACCCTACATTAACGACACATGATACTGCCAAGATAGCGTAGCCATTAACTTGCGGGGACAAGTCCTATCCCTAAACCAACCTAACGCATCATCTGCCTTGCAATATCATAAGGTCAGTTTGGTCCATCTGCCCTCTAGCCAGGATCATGGCTGACGATCAATGGGTGGTGATAGGGCAGAAGCACCAAGTAGACGTATCTATCCAACGGATGTCCAGCTACACGAGACCTGTGGCGGCGATGGCGTGCCTAAATAGCCATGCTTGAGACAGTATCAGAACATCGAACCATTCAGGATAACGGCGACATGTACATGGGAAGGGGTCTAGGTGGCGGTACTTAAAACTCGGAGGTCTGGCTGATGGACTCGCTGAAGGCACTGTTTGATAAGCACATGTCAGCAGTGGAACCAAAGTAGGGGCTCATGACTCATAAAGCGTGAACCCTCACTTCAAGAGCGTGAGCCTCATGACGGGTTCGTTATCGGTATGACTGGTAGGTAGATATATACACTCGGAGCGCTGACTTAGGGCCATCGTATCTGACAAGACCCAGCTGGTCGTAATAGTGGGTGTTTCAGCACTGTCCGACGGTATGGGGCTGACAAAGGACTTACCTACAGGATGCCTCACTTACACTCTGGTGGTCAAGAAGCTAGTCAGAAGTCACATTATTAGCTCCACTCAGCAAGGCACATAGACACAGTACTCACCAAAGGATTATCGCCAGTTAAGGCTCAAGCTCTAGCCTGTAGGCACGAAGACGGGCACAGTGGAGTAAACCACCAGTAGGTAGAGAGAGGCAGGTGACTTGGTGGCTTAAGTAACCACCGTGGGTATATATCAGTGACAGCAGGAGTTTGGGGTCAAAGAGGAGGGACTCATAAGTCTACTGCAGGAAGGCGCCTTGATTTCAGCTTGACAGAATTTGACGGATGTGGTAAGGAGGGGAACTGTTTCGACAGAGAACCAGGGAAGGAGGCCATATTTATAGGTCTCTTAACTAGTCTTATTACCGCCCGGTTTGTGTTACCGCGGTGAAGTCTTTTCTATCTATCGATTTTTGGGGGGCATTGTTTCCGGGGGCATCGACGTTGCCCGTGCAAAGTCAGGCCTATTAAACCTTGACTTACTTAGGTGACGGGCTCGGTAGAAGTCAATAGGTAGGTGAAAAGTGAACGGTCATGGTCAGAGTGGATTGTAGAATGAAGTTATTTTCTAAAAATTTTGAACAATGAAAAATCATGAAAAAGAAAAAGAAAAATCATTTTTATTTTATTGAATTATTTCTTGTCTAAAGAGCGTTGATCAACGTTGAACATTTTCTCAATGACCGGATTTTCAACAGTTAAAACGGTGGGCAGCGATCATCGCTCGACTACGACAGCATGCACCTTTATCACCATTATCTGAATTTTAGCATTAGTTGTTGATTCAAAACAGAGGCCGACGATCATGCTGTGTTCTGAGTAAGTCGCCTCACTCGTTGATGATCGAATTTTCAGGGTCTAAGCCATCGCCCACCCAAAATACTTCTACTAAGTGTACTACAGCCATGCCACATCGACTGTAGTACTACGGCTCTAACTTTGACCTATCCTAGATAATACACATCCATGAGTAACACCATAAGCCGGACTTTGGCCAATGCCAGCTATCAAATCCCGAGAGTTTCGAATACTAGGTCCTTGGAACTACTGAGCTAAATGGTCAATAGCGCCTAATGACTACAATTCTATACCTGATATTTGTCTATGCTGCTTTTCAGGACTGATATTATCAGAATATAGAAATGCGATTTTCACACTATCCATCGGTACAGACATGGCCGATCGAAAACCAGAGTCTTTTCTAATGCATCAAGGCAAGACAGAATAAACAGAGCCAATCTGAATCCAAAAAAGCGCTAGGAGCGCAAATCATCTGCCAGGTGCATTCAGAAGCTTTCTGAAGTGTAAGGTCTTTCCCACATAGAAAATCGACCTATTTGAATCCCCAGGAAATCTAAGCCATTGCGGATTCTCGTATTTCACGTTTGTGTTGGCACGAAGAGGTGCCTGTAGGTATATTGGAGGCTGCGACAGAACCTCGCCAGCATAAGCAATTTTAAAAATGGGATAAATCAAGAAGGAGGGTGGTCTAGAGAGGCTCATGTCCACTTGATGCTGGGTGAGGGAAATTTGATAGTGTATGGGCACCCCTATTTCCAGCAGCCATTAAAGGGATTGGTTAGGTAGAGTGGTGAATGCCATAGAGAGTCGCTGTAAATTGCTTGTCTCTAAGTTAATCCATTGATCCCTGTATGACTTTTCGTCGAGCTTTGATTCATAGGAAGGAAAGTATGCCTAGAGGTATAGATTAGATGATGTTCGCGGAGATTGGCTCCGGTGACTTACGCAGCCGAAACATATGGATTTCTCTATAGCCAGGTCTAGTAGGGGCAGTTCCATATAATCATAGGTTTTTGTAGTCATCTCAGCTTCCACACTTATTGTAGTGGTGATATTGAGATCGGAGGATAAGGGAAAAGGACAATATATTTATAGCTTTGAGAGACAAGACAAAATTGACGAGGAAGTATGGCCTAGCGCGTAACTAAAGATGATTTAGAAACTGCTCGGAAACCGTCCTAGGTCCCCTGAGACGTATCGCAGTGCCAGCAAAGTCGAGTATAGGATCGTCTTGACTGGTCCTAGGAGCTCTTGCGATCCTAAAATGCTCGCCCTAGGTTCTAGGACCATGATTGCGCTTTCGGAGATCTGGATGTGCTTTTCTTAGAGCGCTTTGGTTCACGTGTAGGCTTCAAACCTAAGCAGTATCTTATAGTAGGTCTATATAACGGCCCTGAGCATTTGTTGACACACCTCTTAGGCCACATGACGACGATTTCTATGCTCGGTATTTCCTGGCACTCCTGAGCAAGTGACCTAAGGGATACTTAAATGCTAGAAGACCCCGAAGAGTTTGTCAATTTCATGTCTTTTAATTTAACCATCTCAGTTTAGAAAATTCATTCCATAAACATAACTTCACAGGGCGCGGAGAGCGACTATTTTTTCTCTACCTTTCCCTCTCCACATAACTATGAATTCGTGCACGATCAGTTGATACCGCGGACGACGAGCACTTCTCGGCCTAGTTGCATAGACACGATTATTAGAGAGATTAAACATAAGTATGATCACTTAAGGCAAGAAAATGTCAACTTGACGGTTGCCCTATAACAGTCGCGTCAGGAAAACATCAACCTTCTCCTAACGCTACAGCGCAAGGAGCAACACCTTCAGGTAGCTTAGCGACGCATAGAAAAGGTCGAACGAGAGGTGCATATAATAAAAGGTGTTGCAGAAAATATGCAGAACTGGGAAGGTCGCTTAGCGGCATGCGAGAAAATGATCCCCATATATCAAACATCATTTAAGGAGAAGGTCCAACCCACGCCGGTCTCCAATGCTGGTGCTCGGATGAATAAGTAAGGACATGTTACCCGTCTCCGGCGGCCAGGTCAGGGTCAGCCAATGCCCTAGAAGGTGAAACTTCCGCCAAGTCAGCAATTCCCGGGACAAGTCCAGTAACCAGCAGTCGAGCAAAAGCCACGACTTGACCGACGGGATTAAGCCGCGTGCCCGCTTCCGATGTTTTGTCCAATGCCGCATTGTCTAGCGCATGTATAATGTGGGGCTGTATGAATGTGACTGAGGCTATTGAAATCAATTCTGATGCTTTCGAAATGTCCATTCGCATTGTTTGTCAATTTGCATGTAACTATGTGGTGCGTTTCCTAGATGTGTAATGAAATGTGATCATTCTACTCCTTTTCATACACTTGCCGGCCCTTCTGGTAATTACACTGAGTATTGAAGATAGGGGTATCAAATAATCCTGTAGCAAGAGTAGCCCGTGGTGGGCGTGGGATTGCTGTGATATGAGGCTGGTGCAGATCAGGAACCAAGCCGAACCGTCGGAATTAATCCCGAAGTATGTATACGAAGAGTCAAGGTAATTGGAAATAAACTGGATCTTCTCGTTGTGTATATAGCCCCATGTTTCTCTCCCAATAAATAACATAACTATTAATCTTCCTTTGGACAACAACAGGGATAAGACTGCTGCAGATCAGATACAAGATTTGATACGTGTGGCGAATTAGAAGCCGCCTTCGATGATTTTCTGCCGGACCCACCTTTGGTGATTAGAACGCGGGCCCCCACCAGCCAGCTGATCACCCTGCCAGGATCGTCTCTCGTTGACGAGCGTTTCTCCTAAGAGCCGCCTGGTCTGCGAAGGGGTGCTACGCGTGTTTGATGAGGAAGCGGGCGTCCAAACGGGCCCGGAGCCGGTACCAGTCTCGGCTGAAGTTGGGTCGAACGGATCATCGTTTGTCCACCACGGGCAAGAAGGTTCCAGGTCCAGGTCAATCAGCCGGAGGTGACCACTCGCTCTCTGGTGGATGATATGACGTACAGCTACACGTATCGGATCGCTTACGCATACTAAGATCAATCAGCTCTGGCGTAACCTCAAAGATATATGCTAGTGGACACTTACCTAACACCGCGGTCGTCCCGCCAGTATTATCCAGCAGGCGCGCCAAATCCTTGGCAATGTTAATAGCTTCAAAAAGGTACTTCAAACGCGTGCGGTTGCGATAACGAAGTTGATCCACGGGTCGAGCGCCTAGGATATGCGTGGTGAATTGCAGGATCTACATTTAAGTCAGCCCCACCCCTGATATCATCAACACGAAAGGCTTTACTCACATCAAACCCCCAGTCATCTCGATGACCATGCTCGGGACAATCGTCCCGGTCAAACATCCAGTCGAGTTCCAGGATCTATGAGATTTCATCCCCGACCCAGTGGGGATGGTCTTTATGGTCAGCACGGCAATAGGTAGTGTGTGAAATAATAGAGCACCTACTGAAATCTTTCAGCTCGACTTACCACAGAACTACTAGCCGTCGCACTATGTTTCTCCGGCTTCGGCTTTCTTAGACGAGATGCCACATGAACGGCAGCGCGCGGAAGAGTCCAATACCTTCCAGTACAAAGATGACGGTTCCGTACTTGCCCAGGGGAGGTAAGTGTCCGTATGGGCCCAGCACGCATACTGGAAAATGGATTGTCGCATGCGCACGATCCGCAGCTTGTGCGATTCTTCTAGTCATGCCCAGCTAAGGCCCGGTGACTATTCATACTACGCGGGTTGTTCGTGCTTCTGGTGTGGTGTGCACGGTATCCACCGAAGCCACATAGAATACATAAAGCTGCAAGCATGCCCTGATTCCCCAGTGTGGTGCCCAGAGTTATACATACTGCCCCGGCCGAGCCACCCACTCCACCAGCACCGCAATATCAAGCCATAAGAGCCGGTTCGAAGACCGCGCGAGGGCTTGCCGAGAGGTGATGCGCCATAACCTGTGGTGCCACATGGTGTGTAGACACGTTCTGGCACCCCAGGCAAATCCAGCGCAAATACCTCTAAGTAGTACCCAGCGGTAGGGAGACCCCTGGTCGGTCAAATGATAGAAAAGAGCACCGGTTGTAATTGAGGCAAGGATATGGTGGACTTTAAGGCCGAGTTGGGGCCACCGTCGAAGAATCGCAGCGAGCGTCCAAGGTAAGATCGAGACGAGACTATATCCGGCCTGTGCAATGTGAGCCACTTTAAGAGAGAGATACCGCGGGGAGTATAGGAGGGCTGCCGTTCTCTGGCCTACTTCACGTACCAGGAGTGGAATGACGAGGGAAGTTCCAAGGGCAGTTTTTCGAGCAACTGTGCCCATGATAGACCCATGAATAAGATAATATAGCACGCACATGCGACCCAGCCACCGATGGGCCTACTGGAAGGTGCCGCGCTCGACACGGTAGACGTGGGCTGGAAGATTAATACTATACCTGGAGTAGAGGGGAATAAGATAGGTCACTGCTAAACGTGCCGCTCGCTTCTGCACGTCCGCCTAGTTCTGTGAATGAAGGCTGATCGCAATGATGTTGGCAATCACCAGGGTTGCAAGTACTCCCCCCTACGCGTATGACGAAACGTCGAGCCACTGGAGCACGGTTGGCGTCGGCGCTTGGAAGAAGCGTCTCCACGATACTGCGCGATGTAGTTGGAGGGGTACATAGCCGAATCGGCGGCCGAGGCTATAGTAGACCTAGCTTATCATTGCGAGAAGTCCACAAAGACCGAATTTGTCTGGGGTGGAAGTCTTGGTAAGCCATTTCATAAAATTTGACGTAGGGTAGGACATGCTTTGATGTCAGGTAGTACTGGACTCTGTAGGTCTTATGCTTAATCTTTTCCTTCCATCGGTAGACTGGAAAACGCTAATCTGGGTTGTCGCTGGGCGGTCCAAAGCACGGTGTGAGATTGGTGCTGGTGAGCAAGATCAGAGGCTTTTCTCATGTTCACTAGGTTGATGACCATTCGTTACCCGTTATTAACTTTCGGCATAAGATATTCGAGAGTAGAAATAAATCATTCTGGTGATCCAAAGCTGCGTCCTATATATTTTCCGTTTAGCGATAAACACTTATCTCGGTAATAGAAAATAATGCGACTTAGAATCCCAAGTTTCAACAGTTGAACTCGGCCAGAATCCTAAGACCTAGTCTTAGATATCGCATCGCCACTTGTTGAATTTGCCGTGACTGTTATTATCGATAGAATAAGGGTAGCAGTAGCTAGACACGGCGATCTGTGATAGTAGCTTCGCCTTATTAACGCAACCAAGCGGCGTCGCTAGATCAAGAATGTTCAAGCTGAATAAAGGCTTTGTGGTCATCATTAGCCGTAAATCAAACACTATCTAGTTCAAATATTCTTTCAGATATAATAGTGTCCATGCAGGAATCTCATTTGCTTTCTCGCGCATCTCGCACGCTTAGTAGGTAGCCCTCATGCTGACTTTCGAAAACACTTGCCCCACAATCTTGGCCCCCGCTCCTCAAAATACCATCTCTAGGAATAAATAAGTTGGTCCTAGGAGCTATCATAGTCCCGGGATCTATACTGTGTAGATTGAAAGATGCCAATTGAGACTTAAAATGTGAAACGTAACAAAACCGGAAAAGTCAAATGATCGGCGTCAAGATATGCAGTGTGCCCATAACACGTCTTTATCTTAATACCATATAAAGGCATAGAAGCGTCTCTGAGATACCATGACTCTCCTGCTTTGGTTGCTATCATAGAATGTCCGCCTACTAGTGAGTACTGTTACCATAACGCTATGCCTACCCCGGGTTTGAGTAGACATGTTTCTGGTTCTATTAAATATGACACCAACTCGCCGATCCTGTCGATCCTGTCGACCGTGTTATATTTCAAAATCGAAATGCGATCGTGATTTGCCTTCTTGCCAGACTTGCGTCAGACGTGGTAGACCTGATCTATGTGTATACAAAGAGATAAGCCAGCAACAATCCAGACGACAGAGGAAGCGGAGAAGGCTTGCCCCCAACGGCCAATCGACACAATCCGAAGAGCCATCAAATCTTGAGACAAAAACCCGAGAAGAAGATAGCAGCGGAGAAATACAGCCCGCTATCCAGCGTACAGACTCGGAGGACCCTGATGTCGATACAACGTCTTCTACACAGGAACGTGCTGAAGCAAAGCCGATACCAAAAAGATTTCATCTAGAATCTACTACACACGAAGTGGACAGTAGCTATCTTCCTATTATTACCCACGCGATCCTGCCTGATGCTGAAAGGACAAAGCCCTACTTTGAAATACATCTTCTGGTAAAGATGAGCGGTAGCCTGACATTTGAGACGCTTCTCTTTAATCATTATGCAGACTAACCTCCTATCGCGTGTCACGCTTCCACCGTCAGCCTCTGATCCGGCTATAATTGACAGGGGACCGCACACAATTCACCAACTCTTGCTGGTATTGAACTACCTCTTCGTTTCTGTTATGCTGCCTAGAGATAATAGGGCTTTACGGTGCATCATTCATCGCTGCGAGAGGGATTGGGAGAAAAGCTTCGTCCTGTAATATAATAGCCTATTGTGGTAGCTGCTCTCTGTATGTCATGTTTTGACTCGAGCGGCAGATCTACATTGTATGTCTTTGGAAGATTTAAAATTGCAGATAGGCTACATCCTGTTCGTCCTAGGACACCATACGTCACTAACGTGGAGCTTTTTCAAAACATACCAGCGGCCTAATCGGCCATACTGGCCCTTTGGGGTAAGAGCGAGCATCGCTTTAATTTGCCATGCCTTTATGGGCATTAAAACTAAAGAAATGGAAGGATATAAATCCAAAGAGATCTAGCCACATGACCAGGAATATTTCTTCACGATGGCGTCCCGGCTCCAGCAATCGCCCCTCTTTCCGGCAGAGGTCCTAGTGCATCAGCTACAATCAATGATCTTTTGCCTACAGAGAGCCTTTTAGCTTGAAGAGATTCGTGTTGCTTCCATAAAGCCCTAAGCAATCCGCATTAGAGATAGCTCAGACCAACTGGAGTACTATCGACGAGCATTTCTGTCCTTAGATCCGATGCTCTTACCAAGAATCTTAACCACAGCGCTGGCGATAAAGCCAAAGCTTAAGGTTAGAATGGCTGATCTAGCGGCTCTTCTTGCAAAACGGTTCCACGAGTCGTATCTAATGGACGACTTAGAAACAGTCTTTAAAAAGGTGCCGGAAATATGGCAGTCAAAACCTAACAGAGTGATTATCACAGAAATGTTTCACGTTAAGGCATCCAAGCAGAAATGGCAGATTGGTTATCTTGGTGAGTTACCAGCGGCCCTAAGCATAAGAGATGCTGACGATGGTCAACCACATAGATAGTGCGTCTCATATTTTCGTCTTTCATGTTTCCCTAAGGATTGGCAGATGATACAGTGTAGCCCCTATTTGTCTTATATTATTAAATAATCTCGCCGCAAAGCAGCAGATTTTTTAAATAGGAGAATAGGAGAATAGGAACATGAAAGAGGATAAACAATATAATATGGAATAAATAAGCTATTTAGCAATGAAGGCCAAGTATATGGCACGGTGTATATAACCGAGACAAATTAAACCTGGCCGCCAATTTTAAAATATAACGAATAAGAATTTCTGAGTTTGTGATTTATTCGGCTTTGGAGAAGTGGATATAGGTACAAGTGATTGTCGTACTGGTTCATGTCCCCGCTCTCCTAGGCCGCATCGCTGAGTGGCCAACCTTGGGGCGTGAGTGATCCACGGAAATACGGATCATACACTGGAGATGTCTTGTCCAGAGTGGCCACATATCGATTGCGTCCTCTATGTGTCCCGTGTGTGGAGTAATGCGCCTTAAGATTGTCGCTTCGCGAGAAGCTACGTTGGCATCCAGGAACCCAGCAGACGTGAAGCCGTTCTCCTATATATTGGTTCCGATGACGAACGAGGTTTTTTTGACGCTTAAAATCCTGTTTGCAAGCAGGATAGTCACATTTAAAAGGCGGTCGGGAAATATTGATTATTTCAGCTCGGAGGCTCAACGCGGAAGGATCCAGCGTGCCGTCCGAGGGAGCGAAACATTAATCATGGCCATAGCAGGAGTTTGTGGCTAGAAAGCTCCGATCAGCTTGCTGCGAGTCTGAGCCTCTAGGGCACTACAGGCAGCAGGCGTCCGTATTCTCTGGTAAGCAGCATATAGCATTGCCATTCACATGCTCAGCGCAACCGGCAGACCTCCCCTGCAGAATCGCTTTCCAAAGCTCTACACCTGGGGCGAACGGAAACCAAAAGGCAACGCCCCAACCCTGGGAAGTTTTCAACATTTGGCCCATAGCGCAATTCAAGGGTTGGCAAGAATGGCTTTAAAGCCCGCTTATTGTGCTCAGCATTGGATCTATTGGCATCTGAGCGTCGGTTGCACCCCCGTCTCGATCATTCTACAGGTGAGCTGTGCCTAGACTTTCAGCACAATCAGTGCATGTCGAAGAGCGCGACCCCTCGCTACCGTAGAGCACGGCTATGTCACTCGAGAACATAGCACTATCCTCGTATGTGTTCATCTCTGAGCATGCAGCTGACTGATCGTAGCTTACTGACTGTGTAGCGTATTCTAGCCTCATGTCTCAAAAGATAGATTGCAGAATAGGAAGACCGTATAGCAGCGGGACTCAGGCATATAGATCAGAAGTTTTCCTTCTTGAAGCAGCCTTGGGGATGCAAGTTTACATATGTGCAAATCCCCTTGAACGCACTGAAAGTCTGTGCCTCTGATAAAGAGCTTATGTTGTTGTAAGCATTTTTTGAGTCTGAGAATGGCCGCAAAATGTCTTGTATGAGAAAGAAACCTGCAAATATAGAGTTTCTCAAGCGAAGTGACTCCTACTACTTTCTGAGCCAAATAACGCAAGTTCAGAGGGCGGAACCATAACCCCAGATGGTATGGGCAATTGGTCGGGCAGGCAAGATGCTCGTTACTGCAATGTTGAGATTTCAATAGGAGAATTTACACTCAAGGCTTACCCTCTCTCAATGATAATTTCAATGGTTTCATTTCAAATTAAATGAGAAGAATCGTTGAGAAACGTTGAGCGTGCCGGAATTAACGTTTGAGAATCTTTTTCTTCCATCAATTTTTCAACATGAATTAAGACAAAATCTCTTTCATGAAACATCTCACTCTCTGTAGTCATGATCAGGTCGTGACAAAAAGCTCACCAGTTTAGACGAGATGCCAATGGGGTCAGAACACTGAATACGTTAAACACCCAGTGACAATGGTACTTACAAGCCTAGTTCATTAAGCAAATTATAAAGAAAGCCTGCCCTGCGTGAAAAGTCTTTTTTCTACTATGACGAGTACAGCATATTAAACGTAATGGAGAACATTAAATCTATGCAAGACCATAATAAGGAGCAAGACTCTCAGCCAAATGGAGTCCTTCCCCAAAGCGAGGGAACTGCTTCCCAGCCGAAGCCTAGCCCCGAACCACCGCTAGTAAGTCAATCAGAACAGCAAGTGATGAATGCCGTAGCTAAATACTAGTGACAGTAGGAAGCAACTCCGAAAGATGCCTTACTTACAGGGCCCTTTCAAACCGTGTTAGAGACTCTGGCAGATCTCGAGCGTGACGACCCGAAGCTCGCCTTTCAGGCCTCTCGGCTGGTCGGAATCTACCGTCGCCTATGGGAGTCGTGGCGATCAACGCCAATCTTCCCCTGAAGGAAACACGTGTGCAACTGAGCAATAAGAGGGATAGCCTCCAAGCTCGCCACGATCAGCAAGTAGCCCAACTGCGCTTGTTTGACCAGGCTCTGAGATCATCTTAAGAACAAATGACTGGCATGCTCATTCAATAGAGTCAGGTCCCAAGAAGTGATCTGGCGGACTTGGTTAAAGTCAACCGCAGCGAGTAAAAAGATTCATTTACTTAGTCTAGTACTAGATATTGTTTCGGGAGTGTATTAATTGAAATCTAGTATGTATGTATTATTTGAATGAAACGGTTTAAACTACTCGTTTTCCAAAGATGTAGAATAGAAGAGATGTGATTGCGTGTAGATCAGAAGAGCTGTTATTGATCCTCAAGACTTTCATTCACGCATTGCTCTAGTTGGAAGGATAGTTCCCCACCAAGTTATGTATAAAAAACGATGGATCTAGGGTTGGCATCGTGGGCAGTGTAGCTAAAGGGGAAAGCACCGAGTGACTAGCGTACGGCAGGGGCTCCATACGTGGCCATAGAGACAATCGGAAGCGGGGGGTCCTCGGTGTAGCTAGGCTTTACGCGATGATGTTAAGCATCTATCCATATACTCGGCGTAGATTGCCCATGATTGTCTCCATTCGGGGCAGAAAAAACATATGCTCGCCAATCATGTCCCTAGTAACTTGATCAAGACGTGTCAGTCGAAATTCCACCTAATATATCTGCTCGGAGAGACAAAATGCTGACAGGTGGAGGAAAATCTCCTCAGGCTGGGTTAAAAGTGCTAAAGGATCTAGACCGGTCTAGTTGAAGCCGGGCGCATCGTCGAGTCCAAAGTGAAAGAGGCATTCAATCAGGAGAGGTGGCGGACTATGATTTTTCATAGATTCGGGGGGATAGCCCAAGCCATAGTCCTTATAGTCCGCGGCTAGACAAGGAGGCGGTGTCAGTATACCAGAAGACTCACGCCAGATCGCGTAGAGGTCGAGATCGAAGTCGGATTCTATGATTCTGTGAGTATATCTTTGTCAGAAGTTCTTATAGGTCTCTTACCGTCATGGACTAGAGCGGTCATATTATATCGGTCTTGCGCCATAAATGCCAGGTACAGGAGATCAGTTTTGCTGACTTGCGATATAGAATGTTTCGAACGAACAAAATCAGAGGACGATTTCAAGATATAAATAATTGGACCATGGCAGCAAGGGTGATGGAAAATTTTGATTTTCAAAAGGCTAGCAACTAGATACCATATCGTTGGTCAGAAATGGCTTTTTCATCGAGTTCAACAGTATGTAAACATATCTCACCACGGGCGGCATTAATCAAGACATCATAAGGTGTGAATCACCTAGCATAGAGTATAGATAGCATACTCCTCCCTAGTCCATGCGTTTTATGTCAAGTAGTCGGTCTTGCCAAAGACATATCGGTAGGGAAAGCCGTTTCACCGCTCGCTTTCAGGATTACAGCGATGCCAGCGTGAAGTTCACGTAGCACCCGCTCGCGGCTCCACATCATTAAGGCTTGCTCATTACAGCGCTGAACGAGAAGATCGTTCTCGACCTCTAACCACTCGTTGGACTCTTGGAGTTCCTGCTATTCTTTATCTAAGTGAATCTTGTCGGCCGATTTCACGACATAGCTATCCCAGAGACAAAAGTAAAAATCGAGCAGTCTGATGATGGGCATGGTAAGGTCCGCCTGGCTATGAAGCATTTGCATCAGCTACGTTGTTAGTGGACCAGCCGGGTGGATGGGATCCTGTGAGTATATGTTCAGTGATGTTCATAAGCTGTCAGGAAGAACTAACCTTGAGAGCAATCGTTGCGTGACCTGCCTCTGCGTGACCTGCCTCTAGCTAGAAATCTTTGACTTGGACATCATCCACTGGCTGATCGGACAGCCAGCGCTGCCTTTTGGCGGGTCAAGATGCAGAAGGAGAAGGTGGGTGATCCATTGGACTTGGTGGTTGAATGAAAAGTATCACGCCACTGCGGGGGTACTGTATTTATATAAAGAGCAAGAACAAGTCTAAGGAATGGGCTTGCAAGGCGACCGGTAAGTGTGAGCAATTTCAATAGTATTGGGTTGATTCAAGAGCAGTTGAAGCATCACCTGTTGATTCTACATGATAGGCACAGCCAAAACAAAATTGCCTGGTGAGATGAGCAAATTCGGAGAGTCACTATGTCTTATTGGGGACAAAAAGAATCCAGGTGAACGATTCCATCTCTCAAATTCAACATGTTTGAATTTTTTCTAGAGATTTGCTGCGCCCGCTCATTCGACCTGTCTCCAGCTTTACTGTACGCCTGCCTGAAATGCACCAAATTTGCACCAAGGTGACCAGGGCAGCTTTCAAACACCGGCGTTACCAATCTTGGTCAGGATCGATTTTTGAATCGGTTCACAGTCTGCAATGTGAAGCGCCGCGATCAAACTCTGCCAAGACAATCGCCCATCCTCCAGAAGCGCATCGACTATTTCTCGATACGCTCTTTGCACCGCAAGGGACAAAGGCCCTTGACACGACCGATTTTCCAGATTAGGGTCAATCTGATCATGACGTAGCAAAGCCCGGACCAGATCCAAGCTACCATCCCGCGCGGCGATGCAGAGCGCTGTGTCATGGCCCGTCATTATTCTTCGATTCATCTATAGACAGCCGCCCTGCTAAACCAAGAGGCGCACAGCTTCCACCTGGCCGTGTTCCACCGCCTGACAGATTGGCAGATGACCCAGGCCGCTAGCATTGATGTCTACGCGGTCCGTGTGCAGCAGGACCTTCATCGCATCAACGCGTCCGTGAGCGTAGGCGAGAGCGAACGGCGACTGGCCCGCCGCGCAGCGACCAACGTTAATCCCCGGCGTAGCTAGCAGACGCTCTAGTGCCCTAGTGTCCGGTCTCAGCATAGCATAATAAAGGGAGGTCGAGGGTGTCTAGGTATCGCCGTGTCCCCCCACGAAGTTGAGTTTCACCCCTAACTCCTCTAGAAGTCTTTCGGTGACAGCGTTGTATGACAGGTGTGTAGATAACCAGAGCGGCGTGTTCCCTACTAGATCTTTATAATTCACATCGCTATATGGATGGCTCAACAGCAAATCCATAACTTCTCGGCTCTAACTCCGAACCGCTAGATGAAGCGGTGTGTTACCGTTCCAGTCGTGCGCTTCGAGATTAGTGCGCTTCTGTTTCAGCAGCAGCTGAATAGCATCCATAGACCCATAAGATATCGCTTAATGAAGGGGCAGCTCATCGTGATAGACGAGATCAAAGTTTATTGGAAACCAAGAGTCAGATCCCCTCGTGAGCGTCTATAGCATGGAGGGCCTGTTACTACGGCATGCCCAGTCCTAAGGCGAGAGACCGTGGCTATCTTTAGATTTAAGATCACTACCTAGGAAAAGCAAGATCTACACCAGTCCAACCCTCCCAGCCCAAACTGCTCGATGAAGCGCTGTTTAACCTTCTTTGTGTCTCAAATTCAGATTCACATTTCGATGAGCATTTACCATTTGCATAACCGCCCTGTAGGTGTTATACTTAATGGCATACCACAAAGCGCTCTCTAAAGTTGTGTTTTGGAGGTTAATATCTACCCCTGGCGATTTCAATAACACGCGAAATATATCGGTAGCACCGTGCTTTAATGCTCTCATGATTGGGGTTTTTCCACGGAAGAACGCATTAACATCGGCGTGACGTTTCAGCATAGCCTTTGCTAGAGATATATTGTTGGTCTTGGCTGCCAGATGCATCAATTTGCTGTTTTGGTATTGCACTTTATACTCGAGAAAGGCGTGTTGCAGTCTATTATATAAGTTGTGACATGATGTTCCTAAAGTGAAAATTGCCTTTCCATCCAGAAATGATGCAATCATCAGCAATATTTCATTGGGCAAACCTCGTATATGCGGCTGGAAATGCAAATTAGTATCAAGCTTAGCTAATCATTGGAGAATTCATGCACGTACCATGATGTGAGGGATACTAAGAGGGAATGAATAAGAGCTGATGAACAAGAGCTGATGAACAAGAGCTGATGAACAAGAGATGATGAACAAGAGCTGATGAACAAGAGCTGATGAACAAGAGCTGATGAACAAGAGCTGATGAATAAGAGCTGATGAACAAGAGCTGATGTAGAGGCTAGTTGCGGTAGAAAGGCACTTTATATGATACTTCTTGAGCATCCCCATCGTTCAGCTCTGAAGCAAGGGTGACCGACGCCGCCACTGGTCGGCAGGGACAGTGAAGCATAAGCACGATGGGAGGCTGTCGTGTAGGTCCTGAGACCCTTATTTGGGGCCCCGGAGTCATTACTAGTGTTCCTAGGATCAAGCTGCGTCCCGGGAGCGCTCAAATTGTCTCCAGGAACACGTAAACTGCTCCTGCACAACGGATTTTTCTCAATCGCGGGTGAGACCTAGCATGCCATAGTGATTATGAAGAGGCAAACTCAGGTGCAACATAAACCTCGGTTTCCTGGCTGAATCATGCTGCACATTCTCAGCTCTACCATCCTCTGCATCGAAGGGCATCGGCTAGAAGCCAGCGATCAGCAACGACCCTGCCACCAGCATGCAAACGTAACGCACAGGAATGCTCTGTGGCGCCACCGTTCGTCCACTGCTTAGAATACCAATATGTTGGAACGCCGTATAAATCCATTTAATAAGGCATGCCGCCAAGTCTAGTCACCCAATGGTCCACTAATCTCAATCCACATTGGGTCGTCCGCATACAGCTGGCAGCCGTTAGTGGTGTGTGAAATCGTATTGGATCACTTGGACAACGAAGCACCCGTTGCGAGAGCACAAGACAAGAAACAGCTTCAAGCATCCAGTGAAATTCAAGAGCACCATCAAACGCCATCAGAATGACCGACTTTCCAAGGAACACATTTGATCTGGCCGGACTGCAGGCCTCACTCTGCAGAATTGAAAACTGCTTTCTCTGCAAGCGATGGCACCGAAATCGACTCCGGATTGCTGAGTTTTCGCCTAACAGCGTCCTCAGTGATCATGATATATCTAATCATGTTCATTCGTGGGTTGCTCCCTATATCACGACTTCGATGTTGCGAGCAAACAATGTTCCATGGCACGTGTCGCCAGCCCAGCCAGCGATCCTTCCACTCTTCACAAATATCTGGGCGGGTGTGCAAGACCTGACGCTCCACAGCGTCACTCCCAGTGGCGAAGTTGACAAGATCCACTGCATGTTTTGTTTGGACGAGGAGGGCGATCAAGTCAATGAACGCGTGGTGTTGCGGTTCGTCGAGTGCAGGGGGCTATCGCACCTGGCCTGTACGGAGGAGTGGCTGAGAAAGCGCGGCACAGGATGTGGTACTTCATGCTGCATCTGGTAAGTTCGGCGTTCATTGAAGGATTTAGAATTGGTCGTGCTGACACGCATAGCCCAACCGAGACCGCCTTGGACGCCCTCTACCGCCCGCCGCGGGACCCCTCGCCACAAACCGCAGAATGCTCCGAAGAAACCCTCGCGACGGTTCGTCACGACAGAGTTGTTAGCAAGGACATCACGCAGTCATGGATTGACCCCACTTGGACGAGAGAATCGCCTCAGCCAGGTGGGACGAGGTGGCGTCGCAGAACATCCATGGCGCCGGGCGCAACGCATCGTCCCGGCCGATCAGCTCGGCTACAGAGAGAGTCTCTTGTGTCTCTTGTGACAGAAAGCTTTCACGCCCCTTCCACGCGTCGTCGGTTGGCACGACTAGGCTGGGTTTCGAAATGGCTGGAAGAATTGGTATAGTAGGGTCAAAATGTCGGTCAGGCCATCAAGTCATTGATGTTGATGTGATGTCTCAATTGTCTAAATGCTACCAAGGTCAGATCAGAACGTACGTAGCAATCGAATTTTCAAAATGAAAGATAGTGTCAGTCTAGCTACTAAATTCCTTCAAAAGGTGCGAAATTTTCAGCCTTTTGCACGAATGCGGATATGACATGTCACTCAGATGAGCCGGGGCCGAGGGTTCTTCGTGTTTGACACCAACAGGCGCAAGCACAGCAACATCGCTTGAAGCCAGACTACTATCGTGGATGGTGGTGCCAGGGATCAACATCTCCGATGGCAGGCCGTAGATCGCCGACGGTTAATTCACGCAGATCATCGCGTAGTACGCTGTGAATCGGTCTACCTCGGCGAACACGCACCACTAAGTCGATCGAGAGATAAGCTACTGGCGGCATCCACATGCTACGAAGTTAGTTGTAGTCGGTGTTTCGGAGCTCAGCTCAATCTAACCACACGTGATTGGTGGGGGGGCACACTTGCCCGTTTCGGGATAAAGGAGCTCCGCGTCAGCGCCATAGTACCCTGCGTGAAGAATAACTTTATATCCTGGCTCACCTTCATAGTTCTGCATTACATTCGCTGCCTGGTCTTCCTAGGTGACCAGCAGTCCGCTGGCATGAGGGCTGATTTAAATATTTTGTGGAATCCGCTGCAGCAGGCGTCTGATGTGGCGCATGTACCGGTTCTCTGTGATGCGTGATATTGGGAATGCTGTAAAGATGGAAGGAATCGAGAGGATCAGTAATTCCTCGACAACTTCTTGCCATAAAATGGGTGCATACTGCCCATCGCTGGCTATTGGGGCTACATTGTGGTATGGGGCCCCATAGTCCACATTGTCCAATTTCCACCATTGATGGGGAACTCTTAGGGTCTGGTCTGTAGCGTGGTAAAAGACATTAAGTCTTCCAGCCACGTCTTCGATATAGAGGACTTGTATCCCGCGGGGGCGTTCAAGAGTGCTAAGCAGGCCCTGAACGCCTGGCCGATTATCTTTGCAAAGACCGTATCGGGCAAGGCACAGATCGTAGCATCTTTGCATCGTTGCTGTTGCTCCTCCTTAATCGTCCGAATGGGTGTCGCGGAGCAAAGGAGTTGCTAGAAAGTCGTCGGAAGTGGGGTCGGCTTTTTGCCGGTATATGATCGGATCGCGTTCACCCTCTATCTTGAATTAGCATATGACTCCGCTTAAGTAGGTTCGCACTGACCTGTAAACTGATTTCCACACTGTAAAAGAAAAGCTTCTTTTTGGAGGCACACAACATATGCTCCCAAATGCGAAGCTTGGTTGATGGCTCCAAAAGTCTTTCTACTTAGTCCATATCGCCAAGGTGCGGATGCTTCTAGAGGAGGTTGACATAGCTTGGGAGTAGGTCTATCTCCCGCAAAGATAACGCATACTCCCATATCTGTCGTACGAGGTCCGCCAGGTCGAGCTAGCTAATCAGTCCTTGTCGATCTTGGCTAAACTTCCCACACGCGAAGTTATAGCCATACATGAAGGCCTTGCCGCCCACAGGATGCAGGGCGAGCCGGACCCCATGCAGGAATAGCTGACCAGAGCATTTTAGATCGAGTAGCAAATCTCCCTAGGGGGTCTGGACCATCGATGTGGCGGAGACAAGTCCATGAATATCTAGAGTGACCCGCAACCATCGCAGGAACGTCTTAGGTGACACTAGTTGGCTATGATTGCCCTGGCCAGCGCTAATGACCACGGCGACATCGCGTTCTATATGGGGGCGCAAGTTCGCCATATCATCCGCTACTACTGGCCAGTCGCTGTGAGATATCTTACGTGCCGCCGTGATCACGCAGCGAAAAGACTACTGCGGCCCATGTAGCCCGAATTTCCAATTACAGTGACTTACGGCGATGCTCATTTACAACTGCTATCAATTCATGACCAACGTAGCTAGTTTAAGACCATCTCCGTGCGAACCACTTAATCGGTTGTCTCTATCTTTAGTCGTGTGTCCTATGACGAGGGACTCGATCGGCAGCTAGGCGCATATATTAGCGAGGGTGACTCGACTAGTGTTTTTCTTGTACTTAATGAATCCTCGCGCGAGGGGGTCCGCGTGATCGTTCGGGGCCGACGAACCTATAATGGCGAAGTGGGCGTTATCGTCGTGAAAAGATAGCTTCAAGTCTCGGCGGTCGAGCTAGAATGTTTCTAGAATGGCATCTCTCCTACTCGATGTTAGTAAAGTTCTCAGCGGGTGGTTCAATACGCACCAATTTTGGTATAGCTCGCGAAAGGCATCGGTCGTATCCTAATTCTTCACGTATGCAGGCGAAATTCCGAAGACCACGGTCTGCTGTGTTGGCTAATCTACGATACCAACGCAGGGAGTGTCTAAAACGTGTTATAGCTCACCGTGCAGTTATTTGCTTACTTCATCGCTGATAGAGCTCCCCGAGTCCATGTTAAAGGAGTTTGTGATATCAAATGAAGTGACTAAACTAGAGTTCTTTCTTATGCGCAGCCAACAATTTATATAACCTTGGAACGATTTTTCTTATGGTATCTCTGGTGACGAAAGTGGTAAGTTAAGTGGTGAAGCCATAATGTTTAGTATTACGAGGCATCACTGGTTTCACACGCACCATAGTTTAACAGATCACAAAGCTAACCATAGATGTTGAAACTTGTTCACTCGATAGATAGGACTCGATTAATGAAAATTCAATATTAAATACACGTTGCCCACGAGAATCTATATCTATTCGGCATATAGGCTTATAAATTTATCACATCAACACCTTCATGGAGTTTACGAAAATCGACAGGATTGGTCATTTTTTGTGGCACAAGACACATGCAGAAGCGGAAACGCGCATTTAAGATCATTATATGCGCCCTAAAGTCGCTTAGCTATAAGGTCTATTTTTTAAGTGGCGTTATGCAACAGTGCAAGCGGCTAGAACCAATAGGCCAACATCGTCACGACCGCGTACTAGGCCTGTGAGTTATCGTGATGCGAATATCCCTTATCTCCAAAAGCTCGGCAAGGACACAAGCTTTCATCCGAGAAGTGCCTTTGAGCCAGAACTGGAGCTTTGCCTCCACAAGCCATAACCCTTGAGTCTTATCATTAATCATCGACAGAAACAAATTGCCAAAGAACCTAGAACCGTCCTCTCCTTCTACCTCAAGCTTCGTTAGATCAACGGCCGCCGCCATCTAGATATATCCCATAGCGAGATTGAAGCAGGCTGCGTTCACGTTGCATGTGGACATAAGGGTATTAAACAGGGGGCCGAAGGAAATAGCGGGAAGGCCAATACAGACGTATGCCTTGGCGGCGCTTCGTCCTGCCCGTATAGCTTCATCCATCAAATCTATGCCCTCGATTGATCTAACATCGATCACGACCGATTCCGAGACCCAATATTCAGTGGACCAGCTATACAGAGCCAGCGGAGGAGTAGTAGCAACGGAATTCCAGAGTCAGAGCGCCAACTTTCTGATGCTTAAGATGTTTTTCGTTCCTGCGATCCCAAGAATGATGAGCTTCCTGTCCTTCTCATTAGACACGCAGGAAATCCCTAAATGATAATCTAAGGGTTGCAGACTGGTCACTTTGGTAAGTGGAAGGACTGTAGTGTCGCCGAACTCAACCGAAATGAAGCGATAATCTTTGTCTAGCTTATTAATCACAGTATGGCTGGGTAAATTCACACATTGCAGCATGGTGTTGATACTTTGTCCGTAAAGCTTCAGCTGTTCCCACTTCCAGACCAGCTCTTGAGTCTTTGCGCAAATAAAAGGCGATTTGGGGATGAAGGGAGACTGGCTCGACGCGGTACTGGATGTCATAGGTTTCAGATCAGCACTGCCGTGACTTTTGCAGAAGGGAGGAAGAGAGTGCCTTACCCGAGAACCTGTCTCTGGCTGAAACGTGACTGGGACTCATACCTTTGCTTCATGAAGGCGACGAGAAGAGGGTGGGTGTGAGGCATAAGGAAGGGAGGTGAATGCTGCACTAATGTTTCTCCTTTTGAGTGATTCATGACGAGACCTATGGCTACACATCATCGTCATGGCTCACCAGGTATGGACATCGTTGAGCGTTGAGATGACTAATATGGAGAACTGGACGGAGCCAATCGCCGTCACGATAGAGTGTACGGGAAGAAACATGACTTACGAGGGATTCTCTTCCCGCCGTGGCGACAACGATAGGAGGAAGGGTCCTGGGAGCATGTGTGATGACCTTGGGAGCTGGTCTCTGAATCCCCTCAGTGTTACTGTAGGTACACAAGCCAATCAGCTCGGAACGCAAACTTTGATATGCACTGCCACCTCAATTGCCAGCATTTCGATGACCATCGACTCGGCTTGACACTAGGCTAAACCAGGCTTAGGAAAGTACTTGAAGTGAGACATCGCCAAAGATCTTATCACTTCTCGCTTCCACATCATTCGCTCACTACGCAAGTCTCCCGCTCTATTCCTCACCATTCAAGTCTTCCGTCCTCAATATGACCTCCAACACTAGCTCCGCCATGCTTTGCAAGCGCTTAACTGTTCTCGTCCCCGTTATCATATGGTTAGCCTTTGTGGGTCTCAGCTCGGCCATATCTCATTTTGCAGTTATCCTACGGGACCATGCGGAGTCAGATCTCATCTATACTAACCATGCTATACTGGGCCTTACCTTACAAAGTCTGGTGGAAAACATTCTCGTCGTTTCAGTCCTTATGGCCCTGATGTCGACGTTGCTCTCCATCTTTAGTATGGTCCTTGCGATCTAGTCGAGGTGGCTACATCAGAACAGCCAACGTCGAATCTATTTTGAATATATTCAGGTTGTACTAGCGCTTAGTGCTATCTCTGTCAGTGGATACATCACGAACTATGTTCACGGGTCTCGATCTTCGTTTGAGCTGTTGAACATTCACAGCCACTTGCCTTACTATAAGTTGATGTACTACGGGAGCATGGGACAGGCTGCATCCAGTGTCTTTATTATCATTAATTTCTTTGTTCTGCTCTTCATGTGACATTTCTGTGCTCAGCCAGAGGAAGCACGATCAAAGGTACGACCATGAATGTAACTGCTTGGAGTGTTATGAGCTGACTGTTTATCATTGACAGCTTTCCAATGACGAGGCTTTCAGACGTATTTAAAGAGACATTGGAAGTTACCAAGCTTGCATTCATCATGCGCGCTTCGTGAGTTGCTATCAAAAGGCTCTTTCGACATGTAATCTCCCACTTCTCTCCTGCCCTGGTTGTGGTGTTCCGAATGTACGATACATGGGGAATACCGCAGTAAGAAATAGATGGAATGTCATTTACAAACCCCACATACTGATTATCTACGTTGTACTAACAAGAGTCCTCCATATAGTGGTAAATGCAACTGACTCGAGTCATAAGTAGCGCAGCCCTTACAAGCAACAGGAGATCCGCAGCTGGGTGGCGGCTAGCCGTGATCAAGGGATGCTACCAGGCATTAGCAAGTTCTATGCCCAGGTAGAATTACTCACCCGTCTTAAAACCTCCAGCGATACAGCCGCTCCAGACGCCCCCAGAAATTCAACGGCAGCGGACCCCATTGGCCAGCGCTTCAGGTCGTCGACACCAATAGCTCCATCCACTTTATCGTACTTTTGCATCAGCTACATCGTGATAGACGGGATGGCGGCGATGCATATGGCTTCGGATTGTTATGTCGAGCAGTCCACGCAATACTCTGGGCCCGCTGCCACTGGTCAGCTAGATCCAATCCAACAGAAGCTTAACTTACCAATTTTGATGATCCCGTCAAGCCCAAGGAGGATATTAGAGCACACCAAAGCCTGATGCGCAATACCAGAGGCAGCTAGATAGCACATGCCGTCGAGGATCTGACTGTCAGCACAGTTCATCGAGACGGCTGTGGGAAACAAACCTAGTATAATATTGATCCCAATTCCGCCTGACTAGGATATAGGTCTATATAAGTGACGACAAGCGCGAGAGTCAATGATAGATCGGCAACTAAGAAGAACGCGGCATCGCCATCCAAATAACATTCATAGAATGTCAGGATGTTGATGTGCTCCAGACGCCCGAATCGATCGATTAGGCCCCGAGCATCTTTTCTACGGTATATTCTAATGGCCACCATACGGCGTGGGCGGGTGCGACGAGAGGCAATCGTAACATCCCCTGCGAGGTCGTACGAGATGGCTTGCTGGTATGTATCCCATAGGGACTCATGTCGCACGATCAAGACGGATGTGATATTATCGAGACTTTGCAAGCGAGGAAGACAAAGACCTTTGATGGAGCCCGTGACGATTTTCTGGCTGCGGTGGGATATTGGTCTTTTTGTTGCAGCGCGAGCAGACCTTTTCTTACTAGCGAAGTCGGGGGAGGGGGAAGGTGACGGTCGGGACTGAGCTTTGATGGTGTCAAAGTCGAAAAGCATGTACTCTTTCAAGTCTCTAACTGACATGATCAGGCTGACACGACTCGTGTGGAATTGTGGTTCTGGAATAGATACACAGCAGCATCGTCTAGCAGAAATGGCGTTTTACGCTGATATATCCTTATCACAAGTGGCACTATATAGCACACATTTCGGCATGCCTCACAATGTTGCCAAGTTTAACCGTGAAGAGATCTGTCAGAAGATGAGATTGCCAACAGTAGAGTTAATCCAACGAGAGCAAGACACACGAGAGCATAAATCAGTCGAACACAATTCAGACTCACACGCAAGACCAAGCCTGAGACATATTCTATGTAAATACTTATGGAGACTTAAGTCACGATCTTGCTAGGCTTCGTTTGAATGCAAATTGCTTTATTTGGAACTGCAGCCCAAAATATATAGTATCTTGTATAGATGCTCATTCGGTATAGTGTTAGGAAATACTACTGGCGACAGCTCAATCAGCATCTGGAGCAAGCCTATTGATACTTTGCTCGAGGTGTTTACCGTTTTGCTGCCTCAATTTGGAAGCACTTTTGCGAGTTATGTTCTAGATACTTGTATGTCGTAGGTGCTCAAAGTCACGAGTGAATGAATCGAGTCGTGTACACGAGAGAAAATGGTGCTTAGGAAGCGTAAAGTCTATGTTGTCATGTCTGCTCATTTATCATCATAAATATGGCATCCATCATATCTAATCGTCAATGAATACCTCTAACTCGTGCATGGTGCGCCAATTTCAATTTTATGATCACCAAATCCTATCTCAAGGGTCGCACCGGCTCCTCTGCTTAGATCACAAACCGGCGCTCTCGCGTATAGTGAGCTCCACATGGACCCATTGCTCATTTAGAACTTCTTGATTGTTCTCATACATCCAATCTGGGTGAGAGCTGAGACAGATCCAATTCCAGCGCGGGTAGACTGTTTGACGAGGCTGTGGGGAAAGTGGCCGAAAGTCGTGTAAACAAAGTACTTCCAGGGCTCACGTTTCCCTCGGTTAAATCTGTACGCGCCCCTTGTGACGCATCTCTTCGACCAGCTTCAGATCTCAAATTTCTATCCGGCGTGACAGACACCCATGGAAATATTTTGTCGAGCAGACTTGTCTTGCTGGGCCTGCGCCAGTCTTCGGGCTCATAGTGAGACAGACTGGGCTGCGTGCTTATCAACGACCGGAGGCGATTGAACACAGAAAACTCCAACTTCAGCTTGATGCTGTATACTACGGTCTTGAAGCTCACTTGAATGTAGTGCAGCTTGAACTCCGTAAGAAGAAGCAGGATGTTCAACAGGACGACAATGATGTTGATCCAAAGCAGATGAATGATGGCATTCCGCCCGTTGCGGCCTCGGGTCTGAATCATGGGCTTGAGAGCTCGGACGGCTTCGTAGATGTAAATACCGCAGATGATGAAATCCTGCACGCAAAAGCCGGTGACCTAGATGCGATCGTATATCGCGGCGGGTCGAGCGAAGCGTGCGTCGCCTTAGTTCAGGCCAAAGAACAGGACGGTCATGGGGACGTGAAGAATAAAGAAGTTCCCGATGATCATCCACAACACCCACCGCACTTTTTCCATGTGCCGGACAACAATCTCTAGACGGGAATAGAGTACGACCGCCTGACCAGTGACCATAGCGTACCACCCGATGATGAATGGGATGGACGTGGACAGGTTAGATGCTTAAGAGACGAAACGAGCCATGGCGGGCAGTGCATGCACAAGAATACCCCAAGAAGCGACCTGCATGCTCCAGAAGTAGAGACCGCTGTAGCGCTTGAACGTGTCGAATGTGACAATTGCCGTTTCGAGAGCATTATATGCGCCGATCGCAAACATGGACACGACCTGGATGATCGAGACGTTTCTCATCAGGATGGCCCCGATGTCTGAAGGCAGGCTGGTGATGGTTGTGTCCATGATCGCCGAAGGGTTGGCCTTTGTGTAAAAGACTTTGAAAATAGAAGGTAGCCAGGATGAGTGGAGGGTTTTTTACAACACTCTTATGGAGTAAACACGTGAATGTGCTTGCAATGAGATCATGACATGGTAGCTGGGGGCTCCTTGGGGTGACTTATGGAATTGTTGAGATCTTATTGGATCAATGGATGGCTGGGTGGGTCGCCGAGTCAATGATGCCGTAGACGCTGTGACGGACACTAGACGCGATTAGCCTCAATCCGTGTTCTGCTTCTTCCAGGTCAACTAGACAATGGGACTTTCTCGTGCGCCGGGGAGTCAGGATGCTAGAGAAAAAGTTAGAGAAACGTAGGTTCCTAAACTTCCATAGATCTAAGAGTGGGGCTGCCTGAGAAGCTGGGAAATACTCTCGTTAAACCAGGGAAACGCTCGGTCGGGGAGGACAGCCTCAAGCGGGGAGAAATGCGATTGTTAACGCGTGATATTGAAGCTAAAATCTAATAACGACTTGTTTACATTATGCTTCTTCGGATTCATTCACTCCTTGATAGTAGGAGACATTCAAGAAGAGCTGTGGCATACTCGCCACGTTTCGACCTCTATCCAAATGCAGATTAATGGTGCTCTCAAACGAACGGTCACAGGCAGAACTTTATCGAACACCAGACCCACCTGCGGGACTAAAAAATAAACTTTGGGAACAGCAGATATGTCTGGCCCACAACGCCGATCCAACTTTTTCTGAAAGCCAATCAGTCTCTGGACTGTCACCGAACTAGGGAGCGCCTTTCACGTAAGTGCATTTTGTCCTGCCAAACATGAGACAATTCTGAATTAGCTATCCACTCGTGGTTCTAGACCGGAAACACAAATCAGGAAAGGTGGATGAATTGTTAGAGTTGACGAGTAGAGTGTTGGAGGAAGGTTTGAACTAGCGAAAGTAGCTTCTAGAACTTTCTCCCAGCTGGATCGACAAAGAAGTTACCCTGGCAATAGAAAAGTGAGGAAAGTCTTCCCTATGTGGAGTCACCCGTCAAAGTGTCGATCACGAATTAACTTCAAGGCATCTTTTTGGTAGCAATAGTTGTGATTTGTGATATTGTGCTCCCAAACCGTGAGATACATAAACCGTATTTATCAATATAGAAACCTTAGCAGGAATTTGTGTTGAACGCTACATTCAGTCACACATCCATTCGTCTATCATATGGCGATTTGTGAATCGAATGTCGGTTTTGTTGGTTCTTAGATGGTCATCTCCATGCCACAAACACGGGCCCCATGTTCTAAGTGTCCCGTCAGTCATCGTCTCGATCTGATCGTGAGTCACGTATCCCTCGGCGGGTTTTGAGCGGTCTTCTTGTGGCTATGATGTCCCGGCGTACCGTCAGGGTATGATAGTAATGTTGCAACCTCTTGCAATGGAGGGTCCCTGATGGAAACCACGGCGAATGGCGTTCAAAACCAATAATCCTTCGTCGCGTTACCATGGGGACTGGGTTACGCTTGCTGTGCCTGTTCTTGAGCCATAGAAAGATCAGAATTGAGGCCTTTGGTCGTACCAAGAAAAGTGGTAATGACAAGTAGAATATAGATTCTAGATTTTTGCAATTTGGATGTCTTTAGTTTCATGGGCTATACTCAAAAATGAAAGGGGTGCACTGAATGACCTCTTGGTAATCATGAGTTCTCACGAGTTCTCAGCGTCTACGCCGCTGCAAATGATTATCTCATGTATACATCAAAACATTGACAGTTCTATTGATCATATTTGTGCCTTTGTACTCGTGTACGCAGCAGGTCGTCCACATTGGAACATGAATAAATGGACCAGAGTCCACTTTCATGCGGCGGGTGGATACCTTCGTCCAACTCTTTTTGCAGTCCTCTGTTTTCCACGCTAACATATTCTGGAGTGTCGGTGTGGACGGATATTAAGTCTTCAGACTCAGAGAATTGGTACCAAAATGGTTGCTTGGCAGGGGCACATTTCTGCGTTTCGTTTCAGGCCATCTAAAAACGACTTTCCCCAAGATTTAAAGCCCTGGTGCCCCCAGTCTTCGAAAATTTATTAATCTTAGAAGTTCCGTCTATGCTTTTCTATCTTTTCTGTCGTTCTTAAATCACTCGCTCATCAGAGAAGCAGCATGGCAAAGGAACGAAGCTCCTCTGAAAAGAGGCCGGATACCGGAGTCACAAAGAAAGTGACGCGCGCGGCGAGTTCTCGTGCCAATTCTCCTGGCTCTGTGCATTCGGGGATCTCTTCTTCTCGTACGCTGCACTCAGTAACGAAGCCGTCCAAAGCCCCAGTATGTTAATTATGATCAATTCTCGATTGCTCGCGTCTTGACCTGTCCTTCATATGCTTAATGCTGCTGATGTTATATGCACCGTGCTGACCATAGTTCCTAGGGACAATTTGTGGCGAAAGATAGCCGAAAGAAAGAGCAGAGAGCTGCCCACCGCAAGTGTTTTGATGCGATGGACAAGCTTGGTGAGTGGTTTCGATTGGCCCTCACGGAAAAAGACAACGAGAGGGCTTATCAGTCCCAATTGTTGCACAAGCTGCAAGTCGAAAAAGCCGAAGAGAGTTCGAAGCTGCAGCAAGCCATCGTGATGAGAGAAAACGCTTTGGTTGACAACCAGAGACTTCAAAGTGAAATTCAACAACTACAGCAGCAGGTGGAGTCGATGAATGCTACGATACAAGATAACATCCCATGGAACGATATTGAGCTGCTTTGGCATCAGACACATGGCGGACTAGTATCGGCGACCACGCAATTCTGGAAGGCGATCGAGGCTCTTCAAAACCGCAGAATCGCATCCTATTTGCCCGGCTCTGGAGTGATCCACGGAAATATGACGGAGCAGTACGGCCCGCTAGGAACCTTGGGACACGATGCCCTTCCCGGGTTCTCCGTATCCGGTAATCCCCCGCTGAGCAGCCAGCAAGAGCACATGGCAACCAATGCATTTGATTCTCTTGTCTGAAGGGTTATGAATGGGTTGCTGTGGATCCAATCCGAATGGATGAAGCTGCATTTCTGATATCAGAAACTATGACAAACTTAACTACCTCATGGTCGCATCGTCATCTTTGTGCCTTTATACTATGGCCGTCGCATGACCACGTGAAAATAGAAAATGAATTTATTTCCTGGCTTGATAAGAATGTACAGCTTTTCCAAAAGAAAAAATAGATGAGTTCCCATTGAGGCAACCAATCGGAGCAGCCAGTGATTTGGCTCCATTGCTGCTGGGTTCCCGCCCGCTCGGGTGGGTCATGATCGCCGCTCCCTCTGCTCCACCCTAGTCCCCCCACAAGGAAGATATGATCTTCCACGCTGCTCGGGTGCTTCATCCAATCACAACAAGCCTTGGCTACTGAGATACCAGATGGTCTACCACTCAGCCAATTTTAGCAAAGTCGATTCAAAGGTTTGCCACAGATCATACGATTTCGAATTCTCTGCCAAGAGCCTTGAATACAACACCGAAAAACTTTGTCAGTGTTCACGACAATCATTTGCTTGGCCGATCGCTCAAGATTCCAAATACTGGTTTAAGTTTGGGTGGGTCAAATGCAATGATGCGCCGGCACGTGAAAGCTTAAATGGCACGTGGCGATCTATCCGTGCGAGCGTTCTAGCCAGGCCAGATTTGGTTTCACACCGTGGCCGTTTTCGGTATTTACATTCAAGACCACTCAATGATTAGCCGCGTCAATTTAGGAGCTGCTCTACTTGATCATGAAGCAGGATGATATGGTAGCTAGGTGGGAAAATTCTGACATGTGAATTGTAGCATTACTTAGGTAACAAAAAGTCAATCACATCCAAGTCTGAAAGCTCATTGGCGACGACGTGTCCGCTCAGTCATTTTACGCTCTTCAGTAGTATCCTGGCCATCTGATGCCATCGTCTCTATTGCCTCTTCCATAGCTACCAGCCGATGAACAATATCCTCCAGATCACTGAAAATGGTTTCAATCTTATCTGTAAGAGGGCTCAGCGAGCCTTGAATAGACCTGTAACAGTATAAGCGGTGTCATGTTATGTAAAGGTGGTGCGACTGACTTCACTCGGGTGTCTAATCTGATAAGTGTACAGTTAGCAGCTAGACTGAAGGAACTGATTTCAGGGCAGACCCAGACACTCACTCTGCGATGCACTGGAAGGCGATCATGGTACGACTGTCCGTACTTTCAGGCTCTCCTTGGATATTGAGTTCTTCTCCAAGTTCCTCTCCCTGTATCCAGTCTTCGGTAATATCTTGCGAGATACTACCCACCGGGTTTGCCCCATGTTGGAGACTGGAGAAGCCATTTTCGTCCTGGAGAGACTCAATCTCTGCGGTGTCACCTTCTGCCGATCGCGATGAGCTTTGTGCACTCTCAGAATCGGAAGATGACAACGATAAAGCACGCGCCAACCGACCCCGAAAATCTTCTTGTAGCTTGGGTTGGGAAACCTTTCGAATTCCACCCATGCTTGTGTAAGAGATAAGCTAATACAGGGAATTTTCCAAAGTTTAGATCAAAGTTGAGATCCCTAAGGAAACGACACGCAGCCTTTATAGGGTTTGGTCCGTAATACCTGAGTAAGCAACCGATCTAGTTGTCTGTGGTGGAAACGTGAAACTTCCCATCCGTAATTTCCAGTTCCGTCGAAAAGACGCAGGCCCATGATTTCCAAGAGGTTCGCAAAATATACAGCGTTGATGGTCACTGGTGAGCTCAAGCAGGGATTCAAGAAGCCAAATTTCAACAGGAAAAGCTTCAACAAACAAAACTTCAACAGGCAAAACTTCAACAGGCAAAACTTCAACAGGCAAAACTTCAACAGGCAAAGTTCAACATTGTCTTTTTGTTGAAGTCATTGAAATCACGTTTAAACGCACATGGTTGCCTGTTTATCCGGGTTAAACGGTTATTACCATTGTTGCACAAAAGCGACGAAAAATGCAGAACCATTGATCTTCAAACCTAATATTGGAAAAATTGATGAAGGTCTAGAATGTAGAGCGGACCTTTAGCACTCAGTGTCGCCGAAATGGCTCATCAGACAGACCCACGGAATATGATTAGACTTATGGAAGTTTTCCGACTTCACTAGTGATTTTTGCTTTTAACTGACCCTAGTGAGAATTCAAATTTCATCCTATCCCCATTCAACCAACGTTCGCAACCGTCCCATCAACACAAGATCAAAAAAAAAAAAAAAAAAAAAAAAAACATGATGTCCCCGCGTGGTACTATGGGCTGGTCTGAGCGGGAAGAGGAGAACCTTCTTCCCTGGTTGGACGAGAACCGCACATTGCCGTGGAAAGCCCTTGCGGACGCGTATAGTGAACAATTCGGTGTAAACCGAAGCGTTGAATCATTACGTGGCAAAAAGTACCATATTTTGCGAAAGAAAGGTCGCACCAATGCCCGATCTCATAAGAGTCATGGTCGCCGTAAACGACCCGGGCCCAGCCGCCGCTCGATTGGAATGAAGGCCTCTCAGTCAGACGCTCCAGTCAAAGCTGCAGCTCAAAGCAACATCGACCTGTGGTTCCAGACAATCCTCACGGCCGAACCCAGCTCTACTGATAGCAGCGAATCAATGCTGTCAAGGCGTTCGATTTCAGGTATGAGCTCGCCAAATTCATCCTCTACATGCATGCTAATTTCTCGTTTAGATCGCTTGACACCAGCGTTTACCAATTCCTTTCCCAAAAATTCACGAGCGTCATCTTGGATCTGGGAGTATGTGCACCGTGTCTGCGCTACTGGGAAGCTGGAGCTGTAAAGTACAGCGTGTGCACATGATGCGAGGTAGCACAGCAGAGGACCCGGAGTTACATAAGGATGTGGAACCAATGCAAATGAACGTTTCATTCACAAATATGATTACATGATGAGGTATGTAGGCTTACAGTACAGGGGATGTCAGTTGCTCCTATTTTTCAAGATTTCAAATAGTAGACAGACAATTGGATATGATTGAACAATTCTAAGTATGACATCGTTTTTGGTGCAACTTGTTCATAATTGGAGACCGTGCTTGCTTCCTAGCGAAAAGTCTGAGCGACTTCCCCGCGTGCTTGGTCAAGCTGCGCTCGAAAAGAGCAGTACTATCATTCTGCGTCTGCAAGCGATCGCGGCGGTCTGTCAAATTGACATAGCCTCAATTTTGAGACAATCATGCATTTTGAGCTCAACTTTGTGTCGAGTCAAGACCTTTGCCCATGAAGGTACATGTTCATTCAAGATAGACTGTACTTACAAGTCGCTTGCTGGTCTGTCATTTTTCAGGCGTCACCTCGGATTGCACGCACAATGACCATACTCAGATTGAAGATCTGGACAAAAGCTTATTTCCGTCAAATCATCCTATTCGTCTCAATAAAATAGTATTATGCATTTGTTCTTCTTGAACAGCGTCACCTGTACGCAGCCCAGTCCCTTTGCTGCAAAATGTCCGACTCAATCTGTGATGGCCTCAAAAATCTCACCCAGCACAGGACTTCCCAAAAAGTACATAAACGGCTGAAGCCTCTTAATACCACCAAGTCGTCAATCTCCTCCACTGACTACACGTGCGAAGTTCGCAGTCTCCATCATGCGTCTTTCTGTCCTCCTCTTCACTCTTTGCCCGCTGGTCTTCGGTAATAGCTTGGAGATCATGGACGTGGGTGGTCTGTGTTATATCTACTCGAACAGCACACGAGGCTGTACAGGATCCTCGGAGGTGATTGCGGTATTAAATGGCACTTCTTGCTCCAGTAAGTACAGCTACATACAGATTAGCTATGGCGCAATTCCACTGACAGTCACCAGATCTCAGCACGATAGGGCACAACGAGCGCACCGAGACAAATGCAGTCAATGTGACTGTCTGTGGTCCCCACAGAGAAGCTGGTCAAGAGCTTGCTTGGATCACAGCAGACAAGAGCGGTCTTCTCAAGTTTCAAAACATCGGAGGAGACACAGCAAACTGTACAATTGGCAAAGAGTTCACGGTGGGGACTTCCTGCTCTGCCCTTAGTGATAGTTCGATGAAATCGGTCACAGAAACGCCTACATTGATCTCATCTACTAGGGTTGTAGAAGTCAGCACTACTGCATCCTCGAGCATGAAACCGACGTCACCCAAACCCGTCTCGGTGGACTGCTAATCAAGTGGAGCGGGATTCGGTACGATTTGCCTTCGATGGAATCAACTCAATTTCCACTGCACCCATTGCATTCAGTTCATTTTGACTTTGCCTCTAGTTCTAAGATTTGGTTTCTGCCCTTCTGTGGATTCATTCATGTCTACTCGCCTTGCTTTGATATTAACATGTTCCTATGATGTTGGTTGAGGTATTTTAATTTGTAGAATGTCAGTAAAACCTCAAGCTGATTCATGACCAAAGTGAAGCTAAATCTCGTAACTGCATTGAGAAATCCAACTTCCAGCTGCTCTGCGGTCTCTCGGTGCGGCTTCCCTTTACAGGAAGTAGTAGTAGTAGATTTCATTTACCCTGTCCCCTCGCGAACGATATGCAGGATACAACAACTATATATCTTCAATTATATACATGTAGAGTGATCCACTTCCTGACAGAAACTTAGAGCCTCGTCACGGCCTATCGTGGCCCATTGCCGCTTCCATTGTTAGGCTGCCCTCATGGCGCACGACTGCGAAACCGCTGAGACGCCTCGGCGAAGTCCAATACGGCCTGGACCGTCTTCGCCCTTGAGACGGTGTCTGGTTTACCTTTCTCACCTTCGTTGGAGCCTCCCAGCAGACTCGACACGCTGTTCAGCGCGTCTCCAACTTTCCCTCTCAATTCCACCCGTAGCTCTCGTAGCTTTGGGCAGTCCATTAACACATGGGCGACCGTCTCCTGCGCCCCGCACTCGCACCGATCGTCATCGCTGTATCCAATCTTCTTCCGGTAGCTAGTGTAGTGGGGAACTCCCTGTTACCTGTTATTACGGGTTCTTGCGGGTAGAGTTTTTCCGAGGGTTTTTCCGGTTCGGGCCGTAACTAATAGTTTTCAGTACCTGGGCAGGTAGGCCCAGGATAGTATAACTAGCATCTAGTAGATAGCATGGAATAACACACTCCTACACCTCTCTTAACGGACCATGTGGTTTTCTCGTACGTCCTGCGGTGGCTTGTGTGGTTGTTCTGCGTGCTGAATCGACCCGCACATCTTCGAGTGTGCTGCCAACGAGCGTTCCCCTCTTCATATGGTGACCGACGCAGGGGGATTCTTCTTGGGTGGCTGAACACGCAGGCAGTTCGATAACACGGCGAGCTCAAGCGACGAGAGCATGGTGGGTAAAGAGAATGGAGTGTCAAGCGTTACGAGCGGGTAGTCAGCTTGACCCCGACAATCAAGGGCTGGACTCGCCGGGACCTGGAATGCGCCAGAGTCCGCGGGAGCCGCTAGGAATTGCTTCAGGACTGCCTGGAATTCAACGAGTGGTGAACATGAGTGGCCCTTATATAGAATATGTGCAGTATCTACGTGTGCGACTATTTGACTGGTTTAGCTGTTATGATAAGGCAAGGCTCCGAGATGTGGTATGTATGACCCCTGAGGTACTTTGTTCTTCGGCCGAAGAGATATGGCCAGGAATACGTTGTCTATGGTGGTTTTTATGGTGGAATACAGTACAGACACACACATACACGACTTTGATCCATTTTCTATACACAAGAGAGACCCCTAGAGAGGATCTAGCGAGCAGCGTTGGAGAGCCTATCTCGTGTGTTTCGTCTGATTTGATTAATTTGACTGATTTGATTGACTTGACTGATTTGACTGATTCGACTGATTCGACTGTTTTAAGTGACTTGGCTGTCCTAAGTGACCTGACTGGCTCGGAGCTGTCTTTTGATGGTTCTTGTGGTTCTATCTCTTCCATGGCATCTATCTGTTCCTTGGACTTTCTACGCGATTCTGTGGACTCTGATTCTGTGGACTCTGACGACGAGTCCAGCCTGACCTGCTTATACAAGATGGGGGAGAATGTCTTTCCTACCGAGGCTCCTAGGAGTGCTTCCTTAGAGTCTGGGGCTAGTCCTCGCCCTGAGCCCCGCGACGAGACCGCCGAGCCGGCTAGTGGCTTAGCAATAGACCCGCAGAACCCATCTTTTACTAGCTACCGAGAAGCCACTCGCCATGAGTCTGAGGCGTCTACGTCTACTAGACCATATATTCGTCCTGCTCTAGCCTAGCTAGCGCCGAATGATCCTCCTATCTTCCACCTAGCGCAAGGACATGACCAGTCCTAGCAGACGCCTTCTTATCCTATGATCCAACCTCGTCAGATAGTGGTTCACCAGTAGATGATGCCGGATCCTGGAACCCCTGGCGCCCCATTCTTTGATGGAAAGAATGTCTCTGAGTTTATTAGGACCTATGAGGGCATGTGCAAGAGACGAGGAATCCTAGACAGCACTAGCATATGTGATGGTCTCGCTGACTACTGCGAATTCACCGTGAGGATGTGGATTGAGTCTTCGCCAAACTGGAAATTCAGAGATTTTAAGGCGCTAAAGGAAGAAATGCGAGTGAGGTATCAGGACCAGGATGGAGACTACTACCGCTATTCTCGCACCTCTCTGAACGAGCTAGTTACTTAGAGTTATGAGTCTTATGACGAAATTCGCTAGTACTTGGCGCAATTCGCGGCTATCTTGGACGTCCTAGTGGAAAGAGGAGCTTTGGGTGAGCTCCAGCGCTATGAATGCCTTCTTTAAGGTCTTCCAGTCTGGCTAAGCGGAAAAGTGATAAAAAAGGGTGGAATTAGCTTTGAGAATCCTTCCTAGACCCAGCCAGTGACTCTCTTCTGGGTTACGAGGCTCATATACACGATTATGGATGCTAAACGTGACTTCAACACGACGATCAAAGGTGTCCTTCCTCCGCGGACTGGAGGACAAGGAAATCAAGGAGATCAGGAGATTCCACAGTTGTTTGGTCCTGAAAGATAGGAAAGACGTGTATAGTGGCCTAGAGAGCCCACTTCTTTAGCCGAAAAACCCAGTCAGCCTAATGGATAAGTCTATGGCGCACAGAATGAGCCGAGCTCCGATTTCGCACGAGCTCTAGAGCAGCTAAACTGTAAGTTTGACTAGATGGATATTAAGGTGAACACGATCCAGACCGGACTGGCTAGGAAAGATAGTAGGAGAGACCCCTAGTGGGTGCCAAATGACCGCGAAAACCCTGCCACGAACCCTGGCTATAGCGGACCGAAAATCTGTTTCTTCTGTGGTGGTCCAGGGCATATATCGACACCTCAGTCTTGTAAGGAGCTAGCCACCTATATTGAGGAAGGGAGAGTTCATTATGGAGACAGCGGCAGACTCTGTCTTGGGCGCTTAGGAGACGGAGGACCGTAGATCAGGAATAGGATGGGACTGCCAACAAGAGACCTGATCCCTGAATAGCTTACGAGCTGGAGGACCAATTCTACGCCTATTTCATATCTTCAGAGCAGACTGCCTACGGACAACCGGTCATCCTGTCCTACGTATGACGAGTATGGAATTCAGCGCGCTTAAGTTAACTATTTAGGCATGCGCCTAGGTTCTTATCCTGGAGAGAACCAAGAGATAGATGACGACTTAGATGAAGAAGTGACTAGCTTTAAGCAAGCTGGATTAAACGCTATTGGCACCCGGAGTTCGCAAGATCCTGCCCGAAAACGACGTCGGGAGTAGGATATTGCCTCCACAAGGAACCCCTAGATTGGCAGATATGAGCAACCTATGGTGATGGATCTTGAGAATGAAGAAGTTATGATAGAAGGTGGCCCGAGTCAGTCCATATATATAACGCAACTTGAGAATACGCCTACTAGCAGCTAGGATGCCCGCAGGGACTCTAGCTTAGACTCGCGTGCACGTGGGGCTAGGTCTCCGCCTCAGCCTCAGAACTCGTCTAAAGTGAACAGGACGCCTCCGTTTATGAGCATAGACACGGCCTTAGAAAATGACATAAAACGACGATTCTTGGATATGGAAGTCTCTATTAAGCTCTCAGAGATGGTAAAGCTGGCCCCAAAGTTCCGGAATACCTTATTTCGGGAGGATACACCTAGCGAACCCAGAGCCTCTAGCTCTAATGCTCTAGTCCTATATCGAGACTCCGATGAGTTAATAAGACCACCCGTGAACGTCGCGTCTAGGCAGATTATCACGGACCATAGACGCTCGGTGCCTGTTGGAGATGCCCCTAAGACTAATGAAGGGATATACTCGCTCCCTCTCCTTTACACGGACGTGCGCATTAACCAGCATATGGTCCGCGGGATGTTAGACTCTGGCTTAGGACTAAACGTGATTAGTAAGAGAGAGGCAAGAGAGCTTTCTTACCCTATTCGAAGAGATCCTCAAATTTCTATGGTGCCCGTGAATGGAGTAGAAGTCCGCTGCCTAGGCTATATATAGGACGTTCCTATTTCTCTTAGAGACCTTACAATTAGGATCAACATCTTTATGTTGCCAGCTTCTCCTAGCTTGATCCTAGGAAGACCATTTATGGAGAGTACCTTACTAACCATAGAGCACCGCGAGAATGGTCACGTGCGTTATATAGTCTATAACGAGTCTTAGACGCGAAAGCTCCAGTTTAACGCCGCAGTCCCGCAAGAAGGACGAGTTATAGGCTCATCAAAGATCTAGCCTGGCGAACCGCGTCTACGTCGCTTAGATCCTTATGGTGGAGAGACTTATGAGCAAGACAAGGATTCAAAGGTGCCTTTAAACTGATTCGCGGGTGTCTTACCTCTAGAATACCACCCGCGACGTCTATGAGCCAGAGAAAGAAAGAGAAGAAGAGAAGGACTTCAAGTGATTTATTAACAGAAAAGGTTCTCTTTGATCCAGCCCCGAACTGTAACCAGCTCTATAAGGAAATAGTGTTCCCTAGCATAAATATGCTAGAGGCGGTTTCTGGCAGTGTGATTAAGCTAGAAGACTGCTATCTACCGCCTAGGTGGACGCTTATGGAGCTTGATGAGAGCTTAAAGCTATGGGACGTGCACTTTAGGTCGACGGTGCGAGACCCTAGGATTCTGCCTAGGGAAGTGGACTAGGGAGAGCGGTTTCTTCGGCCGAAGAAAGACATCTTGGATAGACTGGTCCCAAGTAACACGCTTTATAAGCGAGTCGCGGATAAGGTCTACCCAGTTAACACACCTCTATAAGATGGATTAGTCCTGGAAGGACACGCTAGCTAGCAGGAAGTCTACATAAAGAAATACCACACGCGATTTCGCGCACGAGATCAGCGGACTAGGTTCGACCAGTACCTAAAGCCCAGGATTGCTGAGTTCGCATGAGGCGCTCGCCTAACCCCAGAATATGAAGAGAAGCTAATCGTCGGGATAAGTCTTTTACCGGAAGAAAGAGAGCTACTAAGAGAGCTGCTGTTTAAGCGAGAAGGTGTGCTAGCGTGGTCCTAGGAGCACATCCAGAGGGTACACCCAGAGGTTTTCAGTCCACAGAAGATCAGGACGGTGAATCATGAACCCTGGCAGCACCCTAGGTTCCAGATTCCACGTTCCTTATAGAAGACAGTCACGGAGATGCTTCAAGATAGGCTAAAGAAAGGCAGTATTAAGCGCTGTCATGGTCCTTATCGAAACCCTTAGTTCTTGGTTAAGAAGAAGGCTACTAGGCAGTATCGAATTATAATAGCCACCATGAAACTCAATTCCGTGACGATTCAGGACGCGAACATGCCCCCAAACGCTAATGAGTTCACGGAAGACTTTACGGGCATGTAGATATACTCAATAGTGGACTTATTCTCGGGATATAATCAGATTTCTCTAGCAGAAGACTACCGAGACATGACTGCGATTATGACTCCAATGGGCCTAGTCAGGATGGTCATAATTCTACAAGGAGGTGCAAATTCAGTAGCGCAGTGCCAGCGTGTCGTGCAGTTTGTGCTCGCGGACGCATATGGTAAGGCTGTCCAAGCCTTCCTAGACGATTTTGGGATCAAAGGACCAAAGACGACCTATAACGACGAGATGGCGTTTTCTAGAGTTCGCCGCTATATTCTAGAACACCTCCAGAACCTAGACAAGGCCTTATACCTCCTAGAGCTTACTAGGATAGTGATTTCGGCCAAAAAGTCGCAGTTTGCCATGAGTGGAGTTACGGTAGTTAGCTAGGTCTATGATAAAGATAGACGCCGCCTAGATGAGGTAAAAGTTACGAGATTAGTCTTCTGGCCAGTACCTACCTCTATTCCTGAAGTCCGCTCATTTATGGGACTAGCAGTCTATTTTCGTGTCGTCGTGGAGAAGTTCGGAGTTATTATTGCCCCGCTATACCTTCTTCTAAAGGCAGGTGCGGACTTCAAGTGGGAAGATGACCAACAGCTGGCGTTTGATGAGATTAAGCGGATTCTATCAACCTTTCCATGCGTCTTACCAATAGACTATGACTGGCTACCGTTGATTATTATAGTCGCTGTGGACGCGTCTAGAAAAGGGTGGGGGGCTGTTATGATGCAGGTGCGAGATGGGATCCGGAAACCTGCGAGATATGAGTTAGGCACCTGGTCCGAGTCCGAGCAGACCTATGACGCTGGAAAAAGGGAGTGTCGGGGGGTTCTAAAGGCGCTTAAAAAGTTCAGGCACTGGCTCTATGGAGTCCATTTCACGCTAGAGATTGACGCTAAGACCCTAGCTGCATAACTAAACAGGTCTACGACTGACTTGCTAGGTGCACTAGTGACGAGCTAGCTGGCGTGGATTAGACTGTTTGATTTTGAGGTTAAACACGTGCCTAGAGACCGGCACGGCGCTACGGATGGCTTATCTCGAAGACCACATATAAAGGAGGAAATAGCGGAGCAAGAGACGGAGGAGGACGTTGATGAGTTTATATTGGCTAAAATAGGCACCTTACGGGTGATGCTAAACCCAGTCACGGCGTCTATTGAGACCCCGCTAGGTGTGGATATAGAGGATATGACACAAAGCCAGGAGCCAGGAGGCTACACACGAGTCCTATCTCTAGAGTACTCCAACGAGTCCGAGCAGGTTACAAGGTGGCTAACCACGTTTCGACGACCACAAGACATGCCAATCCGGAGGTATAAGAAGTTCAAAAATCACGCGTGTGACTTTATGGTGCAAGGAGAGCACCTCTTCTATCGAGGAAAAGGACTAAATCTACCACTTCATCGTGTTCTAGACCAGGTGGAGACCTAGAAACGCGTGATTATTGCTGCCTATGATGAGCTTAGCCATAAGGGGCGAGAGTCAACCTACTACCTCCTAAAACTACGATACTGGTGGGATGGCATGTATTCTCAGGTCTCGGAGTACGTCCGAGGATATGTAAAGTGCCAGTTCCAGGACCCAAAACGCCTTAAAGAGCCACTTCTTCTAAGCCAAATCTAGTATATCTGGGAGCAGGTCTATATTAATACCGCTACACTACCTAACGAGGATAGATATCAGTGCATGATTCAGGCGCGTGAGGCGCTAAGTAGATAGATTGAAGCTAGGCCCCTAAAGGGGAAGGCGACTGGTCTCGCGGTCTGTGAATTTATATGGGAAGACATTATATGCCGCTATGGATTTCCGTTAAAGATAGTTATGGATAAGGGGCCAGAGTTCAGGTTAGAAGTACAGTTTTTCCTATAGAAGAAAGGTATCAAGCGCGTTGCGATCTCTCTATATAACCCGGGCTCAAATAGGGCGATTGAGCGTAGCATAAGAACGTTTAAGGACGCATTATTAAAGATGACGTCAGGTTATTCGGCCGAAAACGCAGCGTCTGAGCTAGAGTCTAGGTCTCTAGCCTATTCTTAGAGACGTGGGTATTCTAGGCAGCATGCGGCGCCTCCTTCATGGAGGGCTTGTTTCTACGCTACCCTTATGGCTAATAGGATGACGACATGTGCTACCACGGGTATGACCCCATACCATTTCTTATATAGAAAGGATGCTATCCTACCACTGGAGATGGAAGTGCCTACCTAGAGCACGCTGCTATGGGAAACGATCTCCAGCACTAAAGACCTGATTAGCCTACGAGCTAGGCAAATCCTATAGAAAGACCAGGACGTCACAGAGGCAATTTATCGATTTAAGAGGATCCGAGAGCGGAATAAAACCTACTTTAATAGCACAAAGGTGATTAGACTACACCCCCTGGAGGTAGGAAACCTAGTCTTGGTGCATAATACTCAGATGCAAGATGATGTGCGTGCACTTCAGAAGCTCCGTTTTCGGTGGCATAGACCCTACTGAATCAGAGAGGTAGTTAGAAATAGGTCTTATAGACTAGAAGAGCTTGACGGAACGCCCATAAAGCACTGGTTTTCAGCGGGCGATGGCCTTAGTCACAGCGCCGTTAACGGAGACCGGCTAAAAAGGTTCTGGTTATATAGGGAGACTGGCGTGAGAGAGCAGTCATTTCCACCACAGAGTGCCGAGACTAAAGGATCAGAGAGTGAAGGTGGATAGGGAGACTAGATTCTGTCTAGATTGCTTTGAGTTTTGCGGGCGTTTCTTTTATAGTTTTGCAGCCTTATTCTTACGTTTGTTCTTTTTTTATGACGTTTTCTAAAGGCGTGCCTAATATTCTGCGTGCTATCCTGCGTTTTTTCTTTATTTCTTTCATATTCTTGAGTTTCTTTCGTGCTTATTAACCTTCTTTAAGTTTTGACGCACTATCCTAGGCAAGCAGCAGGGATAGCAGGTTTCTTAGGTAGGGTAGGGCCTTGTAAGTTTCGCGTCTCGGGGTCAGCTTCATGAGGACTATGGAGAGCCCTCTATAAGACTCAGAAGGATCGGAACGACCTAACTAGCTAATTTCGGCCGAAGAACTCGACTTAGTGAGGGAGGTAGTCTCAGCACAGATTCTAACCTCTAAAGACTCAAAGAGATGCGCAGTCTCAGAAGACCAGCCTTTGTTGTCCGCTCATAAAGGTGCTTCACAAGGATGTGCAAGAATAGAAGAAGGATAGGTAGGAAGGATAAGACAAAGAAGATATGGTCCTATAGAAGGATAGAAAACCAGAGTCCTCGTCAAGCAGTCCTAGTCTCCTCGCAACTTCTCGCAAACATCTCACAGACACCTTCAAGTCTCAGTCATAAGAAACTCCAAAGACCTCATCATGCAGAAAGACCCTCCTTGCACACCTCCACGAGCGAGACCAGAGACTAAGACGTCCTTAGTGGTCGTACCAATTTCTCCAGAATCTATTATCACGGAGTCTCAGGAAGAAGGGTTCTTACGGTCTCTAGATCTTTCGATCTGCGGAGTTAGCGACTTAGAAACCTTCAAGAAAGGGATACAAGGACATCCTGCCGAAGACAGGTATGAGCTTCAAAGGCTAGTTTCCGCGTGGCTCCTACAGAAACATGCGTCTCATGAGTCCGCGATCGCTGACTAGTATAACTACGTCTATGACGATAACGCATGGAGAGCGGAGTGCTCCTTGGAAGACTTCTTAGAGGAGTGGAAAGAACTCCGAATTGTCAGGACCCGGCACGCTAAGAACCTGACCTACCGCACAAATATGCTAAAGAAAGCTATTAAGGCGTGGGGCAAGAAGAACGCGGAAGGACTATTCCAGAACATTCACACGAAGACTATGGCAGAGGTAGTGAGTAAGCTGCTGTAGAAACGGGTTCCTTACAGCCATGTGGTCTCCGCGGTCAATAATAAGGTGATTAAGCGCCTTAGGCGAGTGGGAAGAGGACACCGAGTCCAGAAAGGCATGATTCAAGGAGATCTAAAGAACGCAGTCTCAAACATGGACCTAGGACGACTTAACGTCCTAGTTATAAGGGACCTGGGTCTTCAAGTGGACTCTAGAGGAGTTCTCTGTGAGAAAGGACTAGGGTCGGACTTGGTTGAGATGGACCTAGACTTGCCAAGCGGGACTAGGGACTTAGAGTCGGAGACTAACAACGAGGTGACAGACTAGGGCTTAGACAAAGACTCTAGCGAGGATAACGGGCCTAGGAAGCCTCGAAGAAAGACTAGCTCCGCGGAAGGGAAGAAGCCAGCGAAGACTCTAAAGAAAGGATGTGGGTGTAAGCTCACGGACTCAACGATAGCCCGGTTTCAAGGTCCACAGTCCGAAGGATCTACCACATAACAGGAGAAACTAAAGGTCTTGAGATATGCTAGAAGAAGCTTAGGAGACTTCAACGAGGCGAACATCTATTACGCCCACGCCAAGTCCTTTGGATTATTTCTTAGGCTATACACACGGACGTATACCCACCCCCAGCTAGCAACTCGCTTAACCGTCTACTATAAGCACCTTAGAGACTAGAAGAAGTTCGAGCAAGATAACCCCACGTGGTTCTACAAGAAAACTGCCTCGGGCGCGCCAGCAACAATTTTCCGATTTCGGCCGAAGACAGCCACACCTGAGATTGCGGACTTCGAGTCCTACGGACTATCCTTAAGAGACTTATATAAGAGATGTTTCGGAGTCCTAGAAGGACAGGATAGGGACCTCGCTAGCTCTGTCCTAGAAGAGTTCTCCTTAGAAGGAACGGTTGTCTTAGAAGGGCTATTTACCTAGGTCGTGGAGTCTCTAGGAGACCTTGTCACGCTAGAATTCGACATATATGACTACCATTTCCTGCCTCCAGCAGGTCAGCCTCGAAAAGGCTAGTCGCGTCTAATGACCCACAGCCTAGTCCAGCAAGTTATTCGACAAGACCCAGCGTATTATGCGTGGTATATAATGCTACGACCCGACCACGCATATAGACTAGTTACTTAGCCGTACTACACAAAGAGCTCTTATCTAGAAGAAAGCACGTTTTTCAGACACACCAATATCAGTCTTTCGGACTATCTACAGAGCGGACGAGGTGGAAACCTAATTCAAGGATCTGTATCCTTCACGAACGAAGACCCAGAGAACTGTACGGAAGTTCTACTAAGGATCCACACGTATCTTCGAGACTAGTGGCCAAAGGTTAAGTCTTCTCCAAAAGCAAGGACCACTAGCTTGAAACACCGTATTTTACCTTAGATGTGGACCCAAGAACAAGTGGAGAAATATGGTACGGACTAGAAAAAGATAGTCTATAGGGCAGGTGACGTCCGCGTGTCTCTCCCCACGATTCCCCATAGAGCGACCGGACCCACAACCATGATCAGACGTACAGTCTTGCCGTGGTACATCAGGATAGAAGAGGACGATGAGTGCTTTAAGACTGCAGAGAGTAGCAAGTAGGAGGACGTGGCGAGGTCTTATCGTGACCTTACCCTATCTAAGAAGACACCGTCGGGTATGGCTAGTGGGCACTATACTAGCCCCGAGCAGGTGTTTCCAGCGACTACGCAGATGACGGGACTAGGTGCTATCTCGGACGCCTTAGTCGGTCGTGTTCGGTGGAGCTCAATTAGTGTGACTAGCGAGCTAGACGTTCTCTTTAGAAAGGACCAAGCTACTAGGATCAAGTTCATACAAGACTGGAGAGCTAGGGCTGTCCTCCGGTATAGGCAGCTATTCCAAGAGGTTATTATCGCAGAAAAGCACATTTTTAGAGAGAATTCGTTCTTCCACCTCCATAAGACTAGAAAACCTATTCCGCCACCCTTTCTGGTGCCCCCGGCTAGAGAGCTTGCCTCAATAGAGGTTTCTGACGAGGAGATGGAGGTTGAGGAGTAGATTCAGGTCTCTTTCTTATGTTTTCTGCATGTTTTCTATATGTTTTTGGTGCGTTCTTATTACGTTCAGGCTCTGCTGTTTGTGTTGGGTGCCTGCGTTCTGTCTTGTCATTTCTGCTGCCTTGCGTTGTCTGCTGTCCATATCGACCAGGGGACGGTCGATTATTAGGTGGGGTGGTATGTAGTGGGGAACTCCCTGTTACCTGTTATTACGGGTTCTTGCGGGTAGAGTTTTTCCGAGGGTTTTTCCGGTTCGGGCCGTAACCAATAGTTTTCAGTACCTGGGCAGGTAGGCCCAGGATAGTATAACTAGCATCTAGTAGATAGCATGGAATAACACACTCCTACACCTCTCTTAACGGACCATGTGGTTTTCTCGTACGTCCTGCGGTGGCTTGTGTGGTTGTTCTGCGTGCTGAATCGACCCGCACATCTTCGAGTGTGCTGCCAACGAGCGTTCCCCTCTTCACTAGATAGCCAGTTGTGGCCCGTGCGTAGCTGTGTCAGCAGATACGCGCGGTTCCTGGGTAAATTCCCGTATAGCTTTCTCGTGTACCGCGCCGGTAGATCGCCGTCAATTTTTCGCAGGTGGGCACCTTTGGTACTTGTCTTCCATTCTTGTCCCCATTGGTCGTAAACTTCGCTGCGGACGAATGTGTTCTCCCTCGATAGAAGCGGTCGGAAGGAATGAGTTTTGCCCGGCTGCGCGGCTTCCTTCGCGCGACGATCCGCAGCATCATTCCCGACATTCTCACAATGTCCTGGGATCCACTGGAGGCGAAGTGTGATATTCCTTGCCTGAACCTCGGTGGCTGTTTGGAGGATTGCATGAACAATTCGTTGCCCCGATCTATTTCTCGCGTTCTGGATTGCTTGTAAGGCTGATCTACTATCACACAAGATTGTTGCAGTTATGTGCGCTCCATTTACGACGTTGGTGCGTTGGTGGGCCAGTTTAAACACCATATTGACCGCATAGAAGATGCCGATGAGCTCTGCTACGTGGACCGACCAACGTTCCATCGGCCCCACCTGGACCTGTTGAGATTCCACCACCTCATCATTGTCGTCGAGTGTGACAATAGCAGCTCCCAGGTGGCCCTCGCGGCCGGAGGCGTCCGAGTAGACGACAACGTCTGCCGTGTCCTTTGCGGACTCTGCCCTGTCTCTCGCCATTTCCCGGTCGGGTTCAAGCTCAATCTCCGCGAAGGCGTCCTTTCGCCACGGCGGCAACGGTCGTGGGTCGATCGTCTCTAGTTCGTTGAGCCTGTCGACATCCATGGTTTTCAACGCTTCCGCTAGAGGGAAGCGCGCGTACGATCCTATATTGTTTCTACGATTCTGCGCGCGTGGTAATACGCTCCAAATGGGGTGGTCACGCGGTAGAGTATGCAACCTCACGATGGTGCGCTGCGCGCGGTGACGAAGGCGAAGATGCGTAGGAAGAATATGAGCTTCCACCTCTAACGTTGCGGTGGCTACTGTCCGGAATGCCGATAGAATGCGGATCAACGCGGTTCTCTGTACTGTGTTTAGGTGTCGCAGGTGGGTCTTGTCCCGGAGCGGGTCATGCCAGATTGTCGATGCGTAGTCTACGATAGGCGTGACGCATGCCTGGTAGAGCTGTCTCATTTGTTCCGGGCGCAAGTGTCGCAGTCCACTTAAAGCAATAGTGGTCTTGGTGGCGCGTTTGATGGCCTGTTGAACGTGTTCCTTCCAACGAAGCCCCTGATCGAGCACCACCCCTAGCAATTTGGCTGCGGGTGACGGTTTGACGACAGCTCCATCGAAGGTTACCTCTTCTAGGTGTTCTCCTCTCTTT